ACCTCCAGGGGCATTTCTTGACATTAGTACATTTCTGAGACGGAATACATCGGGTACTCGGCAAAACAACCCGCAAGCAGAAACATGGAGATCTCAGACCTGCATTGCCGAGTGTTCCACCTGTAGCCCTGCATAGTTCCCGGTAAGGTCAAACACCATCTCCTGTAGGGACTGCTTCTCCCTCTGGCAGAACCCGAACTTGGTCATGGTGCTCTCCAGTTTAGGGGTTAACTCTGCCACCTCGTTCGTCTTGAGCCTGCCAAGATAAAAAGGACAGACACCTCCGACATTGTACAACTACACCATTGTGTTCCACATTCCTTCACATTAGCGATTCATTGCACTGTTGGACATAGTTATTTTTGACAGTGTCACAAGCTCAGAGGCAGATAACCAGGATCAGGGGAAAAACGGAACATCAGCTTATTACTTTGTTCTTCGCATGCCTTAAGGCAACAAAGTGCACTGGGTAGGGAAGTTGAACGAGATGCGTATTTTTTCATCGTGAAGTAAAGTCGGATTTCACTCCTTTCGATAAAAACGGCGTTAAATTGCTGCAGCTGTATTCAACGTACCGAATTTTACCAAGATTGTGGAAGCATAGAAATAAATGACAGAAACTGGGGCCTTCCCAAGTTTCACTACCGGGAATGAACTTTTCTCTATTACAAAGGGACGTTTTACAACAGCAACATTAGCACACACAGTGAAATTATAAGAGCGGAGCCTGTCCATTAAGCACTTTCGAATTCTTACCTGAGCTGTTCCTTGAGGGAGTCGTTCTCGAGGGTCAGACTCGAGACCTGCTCTAGCTGCACTTGCAGCTCCGTGTTGTCCCTCAGGAGCACCTCCACCTGAAGTCAGAGGGGAGACAAGACTTGTAAGGCAGCACGCATAAAATTGATGTGGGAGTCTAGTTGCAATGGGCAAACAGCCACAGACAAGCAAGGTGTTCAAGGTCGAGTACCGAAAGATGAGCCCTTCAATCTTCCGGAAAAGACGCATCTATCGGGTCAAGGAAAGAGGCGTTACTCAATTAAGAATTAAAACCTTGAGACAACGAAACAAAAAAGGGCCCTTTTTGTTCTCTTGTCTCAGGTTTTAATTCTTAAAACCCTTTTAAAGAAAAGAATTAACCAAAATGTCTCAGATAAGCCCTTTGTTTTTGTTAAAACTTTTTAACCAAAAGGTTTTAATTAACCAAAAGGCCTCAGATGAGCCTTTTTTGTTTCCTTGTCTAAAGGTTTTAATTCATAATTATGATTGTTCACCAGCTGACCTGCGTTTTGACTATTATTTCAGCTTTTCCCAAGTTTGAGCAATGGCTAAAGGTTAAATCTCCAGTGAAAATGCTGTCATTCCGCATTCTGCATTTAGGCAAATTTGGAGCTTTAGCCTTCACGGGAACAAAACAAAAAGAAAATCGCCCGAAATAAGAAAGACGAAGAGTCGACAGCGAAAGAAGCATAACTAAAAGTCGCGCAACAAATTAAATGTTGCCACGCTAGGTGAATATTGTTTTAACAACGAGCCTGCTTCATCCAGTTGGCATCATTCCCGATTTGAACGGATCGAATATTGAAGAATAGAATGCACTAATAGAATCCCGAAATGCTCAGAACCTCAATAAGATATGAAAGTTTAAGCACATGCTTCAGCAAACTGGAGTCAACTCCCGACTCAACTGTGTATCAGAATCACCACCTATACTGCGTTCACTCTTAAGCTCAGACCGCAGCTAAGCCACAAGTGTGAACTAGCCAATGCCCCTTGCTTTGAGGCATGTTTTTGTAGAGCGAACGCTCATCCTGCGGAAAAACGTTTCCAAGACGATCTTGTGCTCTCACACTTGTGGCCTTGACTGCAGTCTCAGCTCAAGAGTAAACAAAGTACAGTATGTGCATCATTGTTCATAAGGTCCGTAGGCTTCCGCACTCTTTATCTTATCGATACAGGGGTAGGTTTTCTGCACCAATAATCAATGGAAATGGGAGTTCTCCAAGATATAAAAGCTAAAGTACCCACGAAAGAGTACAGCATAACAGAAAGTCACCAATATGCTACCAACCTGCAGTCCTTTTTCCTTGTGAAGGATCTGCAGCTCGTGCTTGCCCTCGGCCAGAGAGCTTACCAGCTCCGTCAGGTCCTTGATCCTCCCCTGTAGGTCCCACGGCTTGCGTTTGCCCGCTACAGACGGTGCCGGGGCGGCAGAGCTGCCGGAGCCTTCTATCTTAGGAGCCGAGGGGGCCACGGATATCCCTCTGTGCTTGGTAGCCAAGGAAACGACGTTGGAGCTTGAAGCACCGGCCTTGAGGGCTGCATAAGCAACAAGGGCTGCTGGTTAACGTCTTGCAGCTGAAGAACTGTTTACGCTTTTCTGCATTTTACCAATTAATAAAAATATGGGTTTACGACGTTCTGGTATGAAAATGTGAGCTCGTGCTCAAGTGAGCACGGGCACTCCCTCTTTCAAAGAAGCTAGATCCTGCCGACTCTACTGAGCTTCGGTGACCTAGATCGATCAACCCCCTCCCCCCCCCCCCCCCCCCCCCCCCAACTTTAAATGTCCCTTTTGTACCCAATGCTGCTCACATTTAACCCCCAAGTCCGCTCAAAGAAGCTTCGCTCTTCTTTCTATTAAATGCAGCTGTTTTACCCTGGGGATCCTCATACTGTTTTCTACTAGACGGCACCAGTTATTTCTATTTCGAGCATGGTGGATTACAAGAGGCACTGGCACTATGGTGCCGGAAACGCGTCTCCAACTGGTGTTTACCGCGTCCAAAAAAGTGTTATCTTGATTTCCGCCTGATGACGTCATAGAAGTGTCATGCTGTCTCCAACCGCGATTCTGGCGGTGTCACAGCAGCGGGGGTGGATGTGGCAGACGCCTGTCGGTGTAGGTCGCTTTCCAGCTTGACAGTCCACAGAAGCTTCGGCTACCACTAGTTGGCACGCCGCAATGGCAGCAAAACTCGCAATTGCTTGAGCTTTTTGCCGGAACTTCTGCTGCCAGCTGGCAGCCACGAGGATCGGGACATCAGACAGCATGACGGTCGTGCTTTTCTGACATTTGTTGCTACTTCGAGACCAATTTCGATGCATAGGTGGAGTAGGACGCTATAACACCAGTCGGAGACTTGTTCAGGACACCGCACTGTCACGAGGGTGTGGCTCTTGTCTGGCAAAGTTTCAAGCACAGAATGAGACGATTTATCCTAGATTACAGGTGTTACGGTTGGTTCAGCATTTCTGGCAGATTCAGGTTCTAATAGTGGTCATGATTAGGTATGTACTAGCATAAAAGATAACTGACCATCTTTCGTTTGAAGATGAAGCTAAATTCTTTGCAAGCGGAACAATTTGCTACATGAAAATGTCTGTTCTAGATACCCTTACGCACACGCACCATTTCTCCTGTTTACACAGAGTAGCTTCTTATCTTTCTGATGTTGGACATTCAGACATATCATCCTCCAATGCCAATGGTACCCTATTGCCGTCAACATGCCAGCTCAGAGAAAAACAGACATGCCATTGCATTAAAATGCGAGCTGCGATTACCCCTGGACCTACTGCTCGGGAGAGTGCCTAAAGAATGCAAGGGCACCCTTGATATCTGCAAACGAGACTCGCCACACGTCAAACCGATCAGAAACGGCTTGGAATCTACAAAATACCTCAGGTGCAAGCGCGTCTTAGCCCTACACTTACAGCAGTAAAGATGCGCACTGACCATTCCTGGGTGACGCCAGTTTCAGTGGGGCTCTGCTGACCGGGCAGGCGGATCTCGATCGCCGGTGGAGCTTCTTGGCGACCATTACTTGTTTTGCCTCAGTGGCGGCTGAGGTGGCAGCAACCGCCCCCTGTCGCTTTAGCTGAAGGTCAGGTGGCATTGCCTAAATAGGGAAATACGTTTTATATATTCTAACTTTCAGGCCATCACTGAGCTACAGGTGAGAATGCTGCCGTTGTCTGTTACAGGTTGAAAACAGCACGACAAGCCCTTACTAAAAAGTTTGCTCCGTGCAATGATTGGTGGTATTCTCCTACCCAGCAACAACTCTGCTTAAGAGGAATGGGTTGAGGGCTTTATGGAAGAAGCTTGCCCTAAATTATTCCGTACTTTGAGAGATTGTAGAGTGGTTGATGAAGATAAAACTACCAATTGGTCTGTTGTGGCCACTGGCAGCACTATGACACTCTGTCATTTTCAGCTTGAGCGTCATGCACCACCCTGACGGTACTTGTATAGCTACCATATAGAATTTCATCCAGCACTTTAATGACGCCCGATATTGAACGGCCAGAATTCCTTTGACAGCAGTTTCCTTCAACTGTGCCTTCACTGTTCGCTCTTCCAATGATTTTATTTTAATGTCGAAATTTTGTTGCAATCGAACAAGAATGAAAAAAGACGTTCAAAACCTCCTGTAATGCCGAATTAGAGCGTAGCTTTTGAGGAAGAGGAGGAGGGAAGGGTACTGAGGGGAGAAGGTGGAATGTCCCCCACTACTAATATGGATGTGGATCAACGTGTGCTTAACGCAAGTCACAGCAAATGCACATCTTTGGTGAGAGCATCGCGTGTAAATTTGATGGGAATTTAGCAGGGCAATTTTTTCTCCTAACTTTAGCGGGGAATTTTTTCCTATAGATTTAGCGGGGAATTTTTCCGCTAGTGACGTCACTGATGACATCATCAGTGACGTCACGTGTGACGTCATCAGTGATGTCACCAGCGACGTTACGCGTCCCATAATGCACCGTGCGGTTACGCCGACACTGCTCAAGCCAGACACGGGCGCCTGAGAGCTGCGCTCTAAAACGATAAACTAGCGTTCCTTGAAGAAAGGAAGGTTTCTGGATTCTTCAGCACTCATTTTATGGAAACTATTTCGTGTTTCCTAAGAAACAGAACTTCAAAAAACTAAACATTCTTAAAAAAAAACAAAAAACGCTGGATGAGTGTTTTTTTTTTTTTTTTTGATAAACTAAAGTAAAATTGTATCGCCTCATATTTTTAGCTTTTAAAATTTTTTAGAGAATGTATGAGCACCTTTAGCACTTCCTTTAGTAATTTCTTTAGGCAGAAAAAAAACCCGTGAGCTGTCATTCTTTCGTGTGGTTAATAGTTATCCTTGCACACGAAGGATACCACAGTTGGGCAGTTTTGTTGACGCCAGGCGAATCTTTGTTTGCAGAAGGTGTCGTGCACGAACGAGGACGGCTGGTCTGTTGCCCTGGCCGAGTACATCCGCCACAGCGACCAGCCCATGCTGGAGTTGGGGGACAAGCTGCTCAGGAACTTCGAGGAGCAACTGCTGCCGTGCCAGTCGTTCGCAGAGTATTGCGATGTCATGGGTGGGTGTCTTGATCTTTTTGTGGACAGTCGCTTGTTCGGATGGATGCATGGTATTAGCTGCACCCGCTGTAATGGGTAGTAGTTTGTGCCACCTAGCCTGAAAGCTTTGCTTTCACAGTTGATAATTGTTTCTATAATTTGTTGAGGACACATTGGGATGGTGACACGCTGCAAAATGTAAAAATTTATCTTTGAAAATTTGTAGTTTCTTTGCAAGACTTTTTTGTGCGAAAAGATTTTCTTCATGGCCAAATTCTGAAGAGCAGCTCTTATGCGGAGGGCAAGTTCGTCTGCTTCTTGCGCAGGGGGTAGCGGTGACGTCAGAACGCCGAGCCCTGATTGGCTGATCGAGCCCCCCTATCTGAGCATCGTCTGCTCCTTTGCAACGTCGTCTGCTCGCAACGTCGTCTGCGTCTGCCTTACCTTTCCTGCGACTTTCGGAAGCGCAGAGGCCAGATTCACGAAACGATCTTACGCCAAAAATGGGCGTTCGACAAAACTTAAGAACAAATTCGTATTCACGAAACGAAATTTTCGTAAGTTTTGCGCAGGTTACGACGAAATCCTGCGACAGCTCCGAAGCTGTCTTACGCACTTCTTACGATCAAATCAACATGGCCGACACCGTCGCTGTCGCGACGACCCACGGACGTTTATTTTTCTAGGTGCGCTTCTCACGCGTCCCGACTTCAAGCAGCAAGGAAAAAGTAAAAAGTACTTGAAACAGATCACGACGAACAAGAACGCTGGATCCACAAACACCCGGGAAAAGCTCCAACGTCCATGATTCCACCGAACGCGACGAAGCGAGCTTTGCAGTTAGGCCTAGCAGGCACTCCGCGACTCGGCGACCGTCTGCCCACGACCGGCTGGCGTGCTGAATGGAATATGCCCGCGCGACCCTTGTGAACCCTCCCCGTATTATACTTTGATCGCTGACCTCAGTTTTAGATTAAGAGGTCAATTTCTTCCTCTTGTTATCTCCTTGTTTTCCGAGGCAACGGTGACTCTCGCCGGTGAAGAAGCGGTGAATCTCCGGCAGACGCAGGAAAGGTAAAGCAGCCATCGCTTTGACTAGCAGACGTAAAGCAGACGACGTTAACTGCGCCAACCCGCCGACGCCGTTAAAGAATGAGGGGTCTCGCCGCACAGGAAAGGAGGGAAAAAGTATTTGGGAGGGAACTTACGGACACTAACACGCTCACTCTCGGTTCTTAGCAAACAAACCTCGGCGCCTCGGGATACCTCGCCAGTGAGTGCTTTGACTTCCCTCCTTGATGCGCGTCTGCTAGTTGTTAGACAAAAACAACGTACCGCTCGAATTATTTCGTCTGCCCTCTGTGAAAGGCGAAGTCGAGCTCGCTCGTAAAGACCTGCACTTCCGAAAGTCGCAGGAAAGGTAAGACAGATGCAGACGACGTTGCGAGCAGACGACGTTGCAAAGGAGCAGACGACGCTCGGATAGGGGGTCGCGATCAGCCAATCAGGGCTCGGCGTTCTGACGTCACCGCTACTTCCTTTCTTATGCGCAGAAGACGAAAATGAGCCCACTTGCGAGGCGTATAGTAAAGGACAGTAAACTACAGACTACTTCGTAAACTACTATTGTTGTATACGTGGCAGCTTTTCGAGTGCAGCTCTTAGGCGCCCGTTCCCAGGTTTGTCGGCATCGGCGTAATTACGCTACATTCAGCGTTTAAGTCTTCAACTCAAATTCAATTCCCTACTAAATCTAGAGGGGAATTGAATTAGTGTTGAGGTCACAGGGCATAAATTTTTCAGCTAAATTTAGCGGGGAAACTGTGGGGGAGGAGGAGGAGGAGGAGGGGGGCATACTTTCCCCTCCTCCTCCTCAAGAGCTGCACTTTAATTTTGCGTTACAGAGATTTGTAAACGTCTAATTTTTTAATGGTTGTTTTAATTGTTTTTTAGACTGTATTGCAATTCTAAATCCTGTTAAAGGCAACTTTTTTCTTTATATACTAAAGTTATGATTACTCCGGTACGTGCTTTTAGTAGTGCAGAAAGTTTTGCAGTGTAGAACCTTTGTTTCTAAACGTTCCGTAAAATGTGACAAGTGTTTTCTCTCACTTTCAGGTCTGCTTTGTGAAATTTCGAACCCAGATGCCTTCCTGTCAGAGTCTCTTCAGCTAAGGGTTTAATCTTAATTTTAATATTGAAGGTTTATTTAATAAACACATTGTTTGAACTTTTCTTGACATCTGTGTGTGTGTGCCATTTCATTCTGCAAGCATGAAGTGTCCCGACATATTTGAGACTTTTTGTAGTGCTCTGTTTTTTTGTTTTTGTTTAGCGTGCCTTTAGTTTGTTTTTTGATTAGCACAATTGATTAGACACAATACTAACACAGAATTTTAAAGAGCTGGGATGCTGAAGGACAGCGAGCGTTACACATACCGCCTTGAAAAGCTGTCAGTTCTGACTCGAAATCAACCAGAATTCATGCCAATCCCTTTCGTTTTACATCCTACGCACAGATTGCTCGAATTCTTTGATCAACGGCGTCTGTCAGAGTGGTCGGGAACATAAAGTAGCATCGGCTGGAACTCAGAGTTTTACACATACCGGTCTTATTTACGTTGCCTGTCATAGAAGGGAAAATCCACTGTAATTGGTAGTATGTGTTATTTATAGGCTGGCACCTTACCTAGGTGCCGCCGTGGCAGCTCACATTCCACCGACACCTATACGAGTGGCGTGTGCTAAAGAGACGATTGTTTCCAACAATAATTTTCATAATGAAGAAATTAGCCGTTTGGTATAATTGGCATTTTATGCAACTAGCCAATTTTTTTAGCAGGGCGGACATATTGTATAGAAGGCAGAACCCGGAGATCAAATTAAGTTAACAAGACTGACTTCTGACTTTTTCAACAAACAGCACCGTCTCACCAGGGTCTCCTTGAGGCTCTCCGAACGCTTCAAACCAGGACAGACCAGACGATTTGTGCGGGTCGGTGCCCTCGAAATTCTTTTTGGGATTGCTCCAGAAAGGTGCTGAAATGGGGTAGAGAAACAAGGATGCTGGAAGTTAATTTCAATATTCAAGCAATCCTAGCCTCAACACGGAACAGATCATCTTTGCAACAGGACAAGGTCAGTGTTGGATAAAGTACAATCGGCCTCAAATGAAATGCGAACAGCGGAGCACGTAGCCGTCGGTACATGCTGCGCCAGCTGGAGACCTTGAAACTGATAAAACTTTAGGCTAGAGACTAGAGCGCTGCGAGGGTGTGCGTCCTATTCCGACGTGTTTGACCCTCGCCCAGCATAACGCAAGCTTCGACGCTGCGCCGGTGGTCCGCTGGAAGTTCCGCCGCAGTCACTCTCGTTGGCTTGGCATGAGCCATGCGAAGAAGCTCGCCGTTCGCAGTAGGGCCAGGCTGCTTGCCCACGGACGCGCGTAACTTGCGCGCGCGTCCGGGGGGGCATTACCGCAGCGTCACGCTCACTTTTTTAGCTGTTGTCTTTTTTTTTTGTTGCTTAATACCCGTTTTAATGTTTTGTGAACAGTATAGCAAAAAATGTGCGAAATTCGAAACAAAATAACAAGGAGGGTCCAGGACGTCTGCTCACGCCTAAGTGAAGCCCATTCCCTGGCAAACTTATGTATCGGCTCCCCCCGGCGCTGGCCCTGTCTCCTCTAGTTATCGTGTCTCGTCTGCGGCGCTAGGATTGCCAAAATTCAGGTCTGCCAGCTTCCGCATTCACCAAACATTTTAAGGAAATGCAGTAACTTTATCATTGAAATTTTGCAGGCAGGCAGAATATCGTTCAGCGAGCTGAATAAATTGTCAGCTATGTGTCAGAAGTGAAATAGAAGTTAAAGCAGTTCATTAGTGCACGAAAGATTTGTGAAGCTTGATTGACGCCATTTATTAAAAACCACGCAGACGTCATGGTGAAGTACCTAGAGCGCATGACTCCTGCAAAATAGTGAAACAGCGTGGACGGGAAATAGCCTAGTCATTGCTAGGGAGAATTTGTCCAAACATAAAGAATGAAAAACAAGGGAACACGAATGCTACAACGAGCAAAGGCTGACGCGATAGGCAGCAGTAGCTGCCTGTCACAAGCCGGTAGTCTCGCTGACTTGCTGTTTCACGCCGCAATAAGGCGCTGATATACTGGCCGGTCGACGTTCGCGCGATATTGTTAAAAAATCCGGAAGCTGTACTTCAAGCAAAGTAGTAAGTACACGGGGTACATTGTACTTGAAGTAAAGTACTATATATACGATGCACAGCTGCAACGGAAAAGTAGTAGCACAACTGACCGACGACCGGAGCGGCGAAATCGCGAGACGCGGCGCTATTGTTCCCGAGCGCGCCGATAACGAGAATGACAGTCACGTTCCATATCTCATCACAGGGGTGGCCGACAGAAAGCAGCCCATCCAAAAGCCCGCATTTTAAATGCTAACTTCTCCCTCAATTTTGTTCCGGCCACCCCCACGTTGAGACATGCAACGTGACTGGCACTCTCGCTATCGGCGCGCTCGGGAACAATAGCGCCGCGTGTCGCGATTTTGCCGCTTCGGTCATCGGTCCCATGTGCTCTTTTTTCATTGCAGCTGTACAGTCTCCTGCAATTTGAAATACCATTTGGGGAGCGCGTGGCCAAGCCAATGGCGTAGCCACGCGCGCGGGCGCGTAGCGCTATTTTACCCCGAGGGAAGAACTCACTCGAGGTAAAAAAAAAAGGAAATGGGAATTCACAGTACTTACTTTGCTCTGGGTGCTCGGAGTAATTCTAGGCGGACCGCTTGAGCTGCCAGCTACAAGATGAAACATGTCTGCGTCAGTTACGCCCGGCAAACGCAAGCGCTCCCAGCCTTTTTGTAGCAGTTTTGAAACGATGTTTTGTTAGCTTGTCCCACGCGAACATGTGAGGCGTTTGACACAATGCTAAAAGCCAAATTCAGGGAAGCGGGGGGGCTTGCGTCTCGAAGAAAAATGGTGGCATATCTCGGGACATGTGAAGCCCCAATACTTACAGGCACTCATCCTGCTCAGCGCAGAATACGCAGATGAAAGTGTGTACGGTGCAGAACGGCGACCTGCAGGGCACGCGGCACAGCTGAGGCTAACCAGAGGTTGACCTGCACTGAAGAACGCCTTTGGGAATTTGGGAATGGGAAATCGTTTGAATACGCGGACAAGCCTTATGAGAGTTTTGATTGGCTGAATGTTTTGAGCGGTTTCGAGAGTATGTCTGAACCTATCTTTTTTTTTACATTTTTTATCTATTAATGGGATAGCGTTCTTTATCTACTTCACCCGGTTTTCGCGACACGGTATCTGGCTTCGAATGCGCAGGGCGTATGCGTGGCGTATGCATATGCGGACGTCGTGCATGCTCGACGTCCCCCGAGAGGTCGTCCTTGATGTCGCCCTAGACCTCGCCTTTGTCGTCGTTCTTGAAGTCGTTCTTGAAGTCGTCCTAGATATCGGCCTAGGCGTCGTCTTTGACGTTGTCCTCAAGGACGTCGTCCTTGGCGTCGCCCTAGGAACAGATAAGCCCGCACCACGCATGCGCGGAGCGGCAGTACGCACAGATTTACATTTACGCCTAGAGCCACTAAATGAGCTACGCTTAGAGTATCGGAACCCTGTTTCCCGATATTGTTGTGGGCGCCGTCATCCTGGTGCTTGTGCAAAAGCAGACGCAACTGTTGATCATCATGATTTAAAAGTGCGACTTCCTCAGCGTTAAATTCGGCGTTAGAAAGCTAATGTAATATTGCTCTGCTCTGTCGCGAACTGTTTAAACATTTGTGGAGGACGGACAAGCGTATTCTGTGATTGTAGATAAAGCTTAAGATAACTGGCAACCATGATTTTTAACCCACAAAATGAGTAAGGGTTGTTATTTTGAAGCTTAGCTGGTTTAGCCCAAGCTATGAAGCAATTATCTGTTTGAGTTGAGCTAATTGGTACAGGTCAAATTATTATGGAGAAACAACTCGAACATCAAACGATTACACAGAGATAGGACAAAACACACACACAAAGCTGCAATGATGGTGGGGAAACAACTTGAACATTAAACGATTACAGAGACGAAGCAATCACTCACTTTCGAAGTGGCACGCTGTAGTCGCGCTGACGTCAATGATTGCGTCGTAAATCATTAATAAAATACAGTGTTTACTCAAAAAGGGCATCGTCCTATTCACAGTGAGCTGCATAGTGAGTCTCATGACGAATGCTCTCGCAATAATAGTGGTTTGTGCAGCCAATCTTCTGTACGAAAATTATGTTTATAATACCCTAAACAAATTAAAAATTGTTTCAGGCAATTTTTTTTACGTTATGATTAAATGCTTAGCTTCAATCTTTGTATTAATTTAAATTACATAAAATCAAACGGCTGAGAGGCTAGTGCGCAGGTCACTTATCGACCGGCAGCGGCGTGGGGGTCGTTTTCGGTTGGCGGCTGCGGCGGCGGCGGCGGTGGCGGGCCGGATATTTATCGGCGGCGTCCAATTAAGGGGGAAACTATTAGTTGTTTAGATAGCACCAGGTTAGTCTGCCAGAGTTCGGCGACATTGTTATCCTCTGCAGATGAGACATTTAGTCAGCGCAGTACTACCTCACGCCGGTACGATGCTCATCCAGATCGAAACGGGCATGGCGGGATGTTGACCCAGGATCCCTGCGTTCTGCAGCGCGAGCCATTGCTCCACGTGCTCGCTGCGGTTCGGTAATGAGCCCATCACCCCCCTCGGCCACCCCCCCCCCCCCCCCCCCCCCCACTCCCTCCTGAAACATGAAGTTTTGAAAGTTTTGAGAAAAAATGACAGACGTTTACAACTCCGGAGGAGGGGAGGGTACTGAGGGGAGGGTGTGCCCCTCCTCCTCATCCGTACCCTCTCCTCCTCCCCTTTGCCTCCTCCCCCCTTCTTTCCTCCTCCTCTTTGGAGGTATTTCGATTTTCCGATATACCGTGCTAAACAATCTGCGAAGGATATATATATATATATATATATATATATATATATATATATATATATATAGGATGTTTTTTTTAAGCTTAACAGATTTGTTTAAAAAAAGCAGTGAAAGTTACACTTATGCCGCTTGTGGAGGGGAGTTATACGGCCAGGGGGACATATTATAGGGGGCTAATCATGACGATCAGTCGTTTAATTAATAAAAAAAGCGTTAATTAACTTGTTAATTAATGAAAATAGACA